GACCATTAAAGCTGCCAGCGTTGCGCAGTGGTTAAAGCGTTTGCTCTGGAGTCGGATTTCGAATTCAATGTGTGACGTGGAGACCTGTCCTTTGCTTGAGACCTTATAAACCGAGGTCCCGTGTTGCAGTAGGTGCTACTTCAAAAAAAAACTGACCATTAAAGACTAAGAAAGTACTTTCGTATTATATAAAAATTCTTGTATGATTTTCTTAATCAATTGACCTTTCAAATACATTATTTACAGTGATTAATATCATAGACGAATAGCAGAGGGGAATAACTTCTCTCAGTAGAATACAATATAAAGCCCTGCTAGCAGCAGAACACTTGACCAATTGGTCCAGAATTCACAAATTTGGTAAAAAAAAATACACTTGCTTATTGCAACTGTGTATGTTTGTCTCCAGGATGTCCAGGAGCAGAGCATAAGTTTTTCAAAGAAATAATGCATTTTTACTAAAGATTCAACACAGCCCACCCTAACACCAAAATCACTGACCCGGGGGCAATGCATTTTCAGTGAAAATTTTTCACTATATTATCAATAGAGCCCACACTAACACCAGGCCCCGTGTAACTTCCGGTTTATTCAGCTATTTTCTTTGTATATCTCGGAAGTCGAATCATGGAAGGCACGATTTTTTTGTAGCCTGTTGTCTTTGACTCTGTAAGAGTATACCAGTGTCTAACAAATTTGGTATGTATACATTTAACCTAAACAATGTCTTGAGTATATTTTGCATAAGTATTTTTGCTTTATTTTGGAATAACCTTGAATATTGAAATGTAAACATACCCATGTGGGCACAGTGTACAGTACGTAACGAAAGTAATTCTTAATCTTGCTATATTGTATTTTTTTATCTTTAAAAGTTTTATTAAACTTCATAATTTAGAGAATAGGAATTATAGTAAACATACATATTTATGTCTTAATTCAAGAAAGATAACTTATGTTTAAAGTATGCATGCATTATATTGTTATTTCATTCTTTATTGTAGTCAATCGCATCAAAATAATAAACGTTGGAATTTGGATGTGAATATGACTTATAGTTATACTTGTATAAATTTGGAAGGCTACACCCCGGAATCACAAAACATCTTGAACTTAAGTCAAAACCTATAAATTGCTCTGAAATGACGTTGAAGTCAAACAGTCTGAGATAAAAATGTTATTCAACATTGCATTATTAAACTACTGTAATCAGCAAAATAAGAGATTCGTCTCACAAATTATGAACATGTTACATGTATAGAAAATTTAAATTTTGACTTAAGTCTAAGTCTGTTTCATTATCCCGGGGTCAGAACCTCCTTACCCAGAGGCCATGAAATTCACAATTTTGAAAGAGACACCCTTGCTCACCGTGTCTAGGCACTTAGTTTATTTACTTCATACACAGGAAAAGTGATGATAATTTTCAATTAAATAATGCATTTTCACTACATAATCAGTAGAGTCCTCCCCCTAAGAACCCCTTACACTGGGGACACAAATTTTACAATATTTGAAAATGCACACTAGATCATCATATCCATGCGCTTAGTTTATCTGATAGATATCCAGGAGAAAAGAAGATTTTCAAAGAAATAATGCATTCTACTATATAATCCAAAGAATCCCCCACCGAACCTCGACCCTGGGTCAACTTTTTTTTCTTCAATTTTTGAAAAGACACCTTTGCTAATCAAAAGCATGCACTTAGTTTATCTGCTAAAAACCCAGGAGCAGAAGAAGATTTTAAAGAATTTATGCATTTTCACTATATAACCAATAGAGCCCTAATCTAACACCAGAATTCCTTACCCAGGATTATTGAAACTCACAGTTTTGGGAGAGGCACCCTTGCTCATCATAACTATGCTATGCACTTAGTTTGTTTGCTTAATACCCAAGAGAAGAGAATAGGATTTTCAATGATATAATGCATATTCACTATATAATCAATAGAACCCCCCCCCCCTCCTCGTACTCAGGTGCTACAAATTTCAAAAAATTTTGAAAAGGCACATTTTCTCATCATTACCATGTACTTAGTTTATCTGAAGTAATGCATTTCACTCTATAATCAATAGACCCCCCTCTCCATGATTCACTGACCCTCGGGAAATAAATTTCACAATTTTCGAAAAGGCACCTTTGCTCATTATAACAATGAACTTAATTTATTTGCTAAGTATCCAGGAGTAGACAGGAAGATTTTCAAAAAAAATAAATAAAAATAATGCATCGACATTTTATAATCAATAGAGCCCCATCCTAACACCAGAACTCCTGATCCAGGGTAATGAAATTCACAGTTTTGGAAGAGGCACCCTTGCTCATCATAACTATGCACTTAGTTTGCTTAACATTCAGGAGAAGAGAAGTGGATGATCAATGATTTTTTTTATGAAATAATGCATTTTCAAAATACATGTATAAGCAATAGACCCCTCCCCCAAATCCCCTGATCCAGGTGTCACAAACTTCATATTTTTTTTAAAAGGCGCATTAGATCATCATAACCATGCGTTTAGTTTATATAATAGACATCCGGGAGCAAAGAAGATTTTCAAAAAAAAAAAAAAAAAAGCATTTTTCACTATATAATCAACAGAGCCCCATCCTAACACCAGAACCCCACACAGTTTTGGAAGAGGCGCCTCTGCTCATCACAATAATGTACTTAATTTGTTTGCTTAATACCCGGAAATTTCAATGAAATAATACATTTTCACTATAAAGCCCCTTCCCCCAAAACCCTGGGGCCACAAATTTCACAATTTTGAAAGAGGTACCCTTGCTCGTCGTAACCATGAACCTAGTTTATCTGCTTACATGGAATATTCATGGGGAGAGAAGACTTTTAAAGAATTTATGCATTTTTATTGTATGATCATTAGAGCCCATCCTAACTCCAGAGCCCTTGACCCGGGGCCATGAATTTCATATTTTGTTAGAGAGCTCAATACTCATTACAATCATGTCAAGAGTTTGATTGCTTGATGTCCTGTAGTAAAAATGATTTTCAAAGAAAGCACTAATTTTGATGGTTTTAGTCTCACTCATCAGCCCGGGACAGGGACTATGAAATTCACAATTTTTGTACCCCTTTACCCAAGTTCAAATTGGCTCTGTGGTTCAAAAAAAAAAAAAGAAATTGAAAATGTTCAAAAGTTTACGACTGATCGACGACGATGGACGAAAACAGATGACGTACTATGCTTCTGATTAACAATGAAGACCCTTGCTTCTCGATGAATTATAGAATGTATCTGAAAACAGTCACAAAAGTTCTTTTAGAGGAAGAGTCACAGGCGTCTGTTTCATTACTACTATACAAGCGCCTGTGGGAGGATATGGAACAGAAGATAAGCATTCACATAGAATAGAAAAAAGTGTTGAGGGAAATATCGAATATCTTTTCGAGAAAAAAAAATAACCTCCAGTATTAATTAATATTGTAAGCTACCCAAGGGGTGGCTAGTATTCCTGAATCCTCAGCATGAATACAGGTCATTGCTTCATCATCTAAATAAATCATCTATTTACCAGGATGCACCAATTTAATTTGTTCTCATGTAAAATAGACCAGGCTCCTCTCTCTGTAGATACTTAGTGGAATAATACTTGAGATGATGAACAGTCATACTTATCATTTATTGTACGTACAGCATCTCATTATCATAACAATATAGGCAATACACATATAACAACATAAGAAAACATGGCTGATTCTTCAGAAACACAAGTTTAGGTCGTCCAGTGTGGTAGGAGATTTCTAACTAGGCTAATTACGTGTAATTTACATTATAAGTATCTCACCGTCTTAGCTTTCTTCTTTATCTTTTTAAAAGTTGCCGCCGTACAACTAGCTGAAATCTGTCGTAACGTAGTACGCGCTTGCTTATATAACCTCCCACCCCCTGTCACATGACACAAATTATCCAATGAAAATATGCCGTACAAACTATCAACCAATCAACAGCTTGTACGGGAAGCTGAGTTCCCACACAAGTTCCCACACAGAACTACTTTTGCCACACAAGCTGCCGTACAATATCGTAACAAATATAACAGCGTAAAATTAACAACTGGAAATAGAATACATAAAATAAACTTGACTAGACGAATAAATTAATACCTTCAATGTTTATAAAACATTCCTAGGTTGTACAATAGGTACTAAACAAAGTAGCGTATGAATATCGTAACTACCAACGACAGCGTAAACAAATGTAGTTCCGATTAAGCTGACTGATAATAAAGTTAATGCTGACAATAAAGAAACTACTTATAGCCTCAAAATGCACAACAACTCAAATTAAAATGTAGAATCTGATCCAATATTCATAACTTGAATCATAGATTACTATAGTAAATATGTCACTAAACCGGAAGTGACGATCCGAGTAAAGTATGATGGCTACCAAAACATGAAATGTAAAATCCACTCTCTTATCCCTGATATTATAAATCCTACGACTTTACATGAAGCAATAACAGGTAAAATATGATGATAATAGCTATTACTACAATCGTATCAAGATAAGCTGACATATTATTTTCAATAAAATCGTAAACGAACAACTTTTCTGGCAGGCACATGATGAACATAGATTTAACAAGTATGAGAACTGGACGACCGCACAATAAAGTGATATATTACAATATATTACAATATGGAATTTCGAGGGATTGTAACGATGATTTTGGCGTGATGTTACAACTGTTATTCCGAGTACCATAGACTTTAAACCCCACGTAAAATACTTTTTTAAACAAAAATGTTCTTCCTTATTATAAGATTGCACATCCTATAGAGTTCATCATTCTTATTTCAGGAAATACATACTTTTAACATAGACAGGATATTTATCAATACACGTATGTTTAAGTTTCTTAAAAGCATTTTCTGTCGGAATTTTAAGTATAAATAACTTCCTTATGGATCAACTACATAATGAGATATTTAAAATTACCAGTCCAGTACAACATTCTCTAAAACGAACATGGCAGAATATGATAGTGTTGAAGTCCGATTTGGATCTCCTCAAGTCTGTGTAACAATTTGTAAGAAACACTCAGAAATTCAAAGTTTTTTCTGTAACGACTGTGATGAATTTATATGTACAGACTGTGCAAAAACAGACCATCGAAGTCACGACTGGAACACAGTCCGAAAAGCATCAACCAAGAGAAAATCGCGTCTCTCTGGAATATGCTTGGAAATCAGAGACGAAGAACTGCCAAACATTGCGAAGCAGATTGAAAAAATTGATTCTATGGTGAAACAAAATCTTGCAGATCGAGATGGAGAAATATCTAAATTAGAAGCTCACTCCAGGGACATTGTAAGTGAATTTACCAAATGTGTCGAGGAAAGTAAGAAAGTTTTAGAAAGTGGAGTCGAAAAGAAGAACAAAATACTACTGGAAATTAAGTCAAAGTTAAAGGAAAAAGAAACCGAACTTCGAGACAGGGTCGATGAACTGGAAGGCTCTCACTCCCTCTCTGATTACAATTTGCTGAACGTGAATTATCGCTTAAACAAGGTTTCGTCTATAGTTAAAGATGATAAAATCGAAGATCAACGATATTCATTACATTTCAAAAATGGTGCAATATCACGGGAGAGTCTAAAATCTCTTCTGGGAGAAGTTAAAGATTACGACGACTTCTCTCTGACAAAAATTGCATCATTTAAACACGAGAAGGGGGACATTATTGCTTTAGAAGTGGACAATTACGAGAATGCTGTTTTAGTAGCCTCTGACCAAACTTACTTCGACAAAGTTACCAAGAAAGGAAAACTAAGGAGCCGAAACGAAATTGGTTGCGATATAAATGATATTGCAGTGTTCCCCAATGGCGATATTCTTTTCTCGGACAGCGGAAATGGCGCAGTCATACGGCTGACTAACAACAAACTTACAACTATCGTGGAAACTTCTCCACTTACTCCTGAAGGTTTATCTTTGACAACTGATGGAGACTTTTTGGTCACAATGGCCGACCCCTGTGGAGATACATGTTCAAAAGATTGCAAAGGTTTAGTCAAATTGTACTCTTTGGACGGGCACGGAAAGAAAGTTTATGAATACCAAGAAGATGGAGGGAAGCTTTTCACACTGCCTTTCAGAATAGCAGAAAACATAAACACGGATATATGTGTTTTGGACAACTTGGATGATGAGCATGGTGTTCTTAAAGTAATATCGAGGACAGGTAGTTTCCGTTTTATTTACAATGGAAAACAAGGTCATCTTTTCTTTCCAGTGGATATTGTTTGTGATAACCTTTGCAATTTGATTGTAATGGATGCAAAAAACTACACCATTCATCTTCTGGATTCTGGTGGCGATTTTATCAAATACTTGAGAACAGATCAGGAAGACAAAAAAGCTTCATTATCGCTGGGCCTTTGTGGAGACATTCTATGGACTGGGGGTCACAGTGGACATTTAAATGTGTACAGATATACAAATAAATTCTAAGCCGTTTTAAGAGTGACATTTACGTGGTTCAACATAAGTTAGTGGGACGAGTGCGAATCCTAGTGCATGGAGACCAGTACTTTTGATTACATATAAACCGAGGTCCCATAACACAGTATGTGCTAGCATGAAAATGATCCCTCACTGCTCAATGGCCATAAATGCTGAGTATAGATAATATATATAAATGCCTTCCACCAGCTATTGGTGGCGTCCCAATTTACGTAAAACAAAAGGATATAAAACAAACAATAAAGTCAAATAAGCACACAAACTGAACAGATACTGAGTACTATCAACTTTTATAATTAATTATTCAATAAAGTACCAATTGAAGATTGTTAATGCTATATAAACCACGGACAACTTTGCTGCAAATTTCTTAAGAACTGTGATAAACCATTATAACAAGAACAAAAATAAAAGTATTTTATTTAATGCTGATTCAATTATCATAGTATGCTGGAAACCTTTTCCACTTGAAGTTAGATACAGGGTATTTCCTTGGCCTGTCTTCTTTTGGTGGTGGTCGAAACTGTGGCATCAGTCCTGTAAGGCAGAATACATACCACATACAAACTGGACTTCTTTGTGTAAGGATATAAAACTTAATCATATTTTAAAGGCTATTGGTACTTTGCGGAACGAAACGGAACGGAACGGAACCAGTTGTGGGGTACCTTGTGGGGGGATTAGAAATGAAAACAAAATGCTACTTTATTTTAATAAATTATGTTTTTTAATAGCTAAACATAAATTTCTCCACAGTTTCAATTAAAGAATTGTAAAATAAAAATGCCTGTAAGAGCTAGTTTATAATTATTTTGTCGTGTTGGTTTTTCAGAGGCTGCGTCATCTGTAATTACTAGGTAAACTGTATTGAATGATTGATATGCGTTTATTATTGTTTCATTATTTATGAAAAAAAAACCTATCCAAATTTTCCGTCAAGAACTTGGATACATCATTTATCTATTTTTTTAACCATCACGTCAATGTAGAAAATAGAGTTGTCCCGCTTTGCCAGCATGACGAAATTCTCTGGTTCCGTTCCGTTCCGCTAAATACCAGTATCTGTGTGGATATTAGTATTTAGCGAAACGGAACGAAACGCAGTGAAGTTGAAATGTCAGTATGATACATATGCAAGCACCCTGTTGTTATTCAAAGGAAATTCCGTATTAAAAGAAATATACATGTATATAACAAAGACACGAAAGATTAGAAACCATCTTTGAAGAGGAAAAATTTAGGTTAAGCCAGAATGTTTATTTGATTTTTGAATTTTCATAAAGCTTGATTCTTTGTCATTATAATAATATATTTAAAAAAAAATTAAAATTAATAAAAGACAATGTGTATTTTCTTCAATTTCTTTTATGATTATATGAGTGTTCAAATCGTAAGAATCCAGGAGCTTTCGGGGGCTTTGCACCCTAGGTATCCACCAGGGCTTCGCCCTGGACCCACTGGGGGCCTCAGGGCGGCCCCCAGACCCCCTGCTATTTTGAGCAGGCACTTCATTATGTGCCTAGTTATGCCACTGATCACTGGATATTAGGGGGAGGGGCATGCCCCTCTCTAAATCCCTTACCTCAGAATCAGTGTTTTTTTTTTTTTACTATCAGCCGAGCTCTCTTGAATCCCAATTGAACCGAGAAATTTCGATACACAAATTAGTTTAACTGACATGATCTCATTTTTTTAATTTAAAAAATATAATGAAATTCATATTGCAACATATTTCTTCATATTATATTTCTTTAAGTTTCATTTTTGACGTGTTTCGTTTCGTTCCGCTAAATACTAATACCCACACAGATATTGGTATTTAGTGGAACGGAACGGAACCAGAGAATGACCTTGATGGCAAAGCGCGACAACTCTTTTTTACTACACAAACTTGTTAGTTAACAAAATAAACGATATTTGGATATCAATGCATGTTATACATTGTATCAATAATAAATGCATATTAATCATTAAATACAGTTTACATAATATCTACAGATATCGGTGATCAAAAACCCACACGACACTAAAATGTATATATTTTAGTGCGTTTCTCTTACGGCACTCTAAGTAAGTAAAAATTGATGTTCAGATCTAGGTAAATTAATATATTATACTAAAGCAACATTTTATATTCATATTAATTCCCCCTCAAGTTTCTTCATAATTGGTTCCGTTCCGTTCCGCTAAATACCAGTATCTGTGTGGATATTAGTATTTAGCGGAACGAAACACAATGAAATAAAATATATGAAGAAATAAGTTGTTACGTGAATTTCATATTTTTTCATTAAAAAATGAGATATTCCATGAGATAAACTAATTTGCATAATGCAGTCATTTGGAATATTCCGAATTAACCAGGATTGTTGTGTTATATAATGTTTGTGATAGCAATAATTTTGCATACAATTATTTTTAGTACACTTTTGTTATATTTGTAGGATGTTACAACGTCGAATAATGAGCCAAGAAAATAACCGAGTCGAGTTTGCTGGTCTGAAATTCCCCCACATAAGGATTTTATTTTGAAATCATACTCTGCAGGAAAATGAATTTCTTCAGTAACATGCATATATAAAGAGAATATATTTTGTAATAAATGTTAATTAATATTACTTAAACATTCCGTTTTAAAGTATAATGTTATTTATGTAAAAAAGAAAGAAAAGAAAATACACGATAGTCATATATTGTTCCGTTCCGTTCCGCAAATTAACAATACCCACACAGATATTGGTATTTTGCGGAACGAAACGAAACCATAGGTTTCCTATTGAAGAGAAAGATAAAATCAAAAAAAAAAAAGTACGACAGCAGACACAATTTTTCAATGTGTGGTTTGATATTATTTGATTGTGAAAAAAGTGTGATAAATATGGATTTAGATGATGTTAAAATTAAATAAGCAAATATCTCTTCCTCAATTGCTCAACATTTTTATCTACCATATTTTGGTATTATGTAAATGTTATTATATGCATAATATATTGGATGAATGAAGTAGCGTTACAACAACTTTTAGGACAGTAAAAAGTTCTAGCTTATACATTATTTTGTCCTGTGGGTTTTTCATCTGGTGTGACATCTGTTCTTGCTATGTAAACTGTACTGAGTGATTGATATGTATCAATTATTGATTTAAAATGACTTTATCCAAATGCTTGGGTACAGTGCTAAAGAAAAATCGTTTTGTTTATAAACAAGTCCAAGTAAAGAGAGTTATCTCGCTTTGCCAACATAGGCCATTCTTTGGTTCCGTTCCGTTCCGCTAAATACCAATATCCATGTGGATATTAGTATTTAGCGAAACGGAACGGAACCAAGTTACCCATGAATCATATAAATGTGCGAGTATTTTATGAGTTTCAGTCTGCTATTCTTTATCGGTAAATCTCATTATATTATTTCTAGATGAATTAATATTACATGATAATCTGAGAAAAAGCTCCTGCATTCAAATAATTAAAAGTGACATCGTTAATAATGTGCAAAAGTATCCCAAATGTCAACATTGTAAGTAGAAATGTTTTTGTTTGTTTGAAATTATTTTTATTCAAAGACACTTGAACAAAATTTCTTGGTAAATGGTAGAATTACAAGCTTTGAATGCCTTTCTAACAACAAATCTCTAATCTCAAATCCTCCATCAGCCATAATTTCATGACCTGGTCGTACATAATTAAGAAAAAAACACAATTCTTCATGATACCCTGTCAGATTCCATCAAGATCAATAATTTAATATACATGTATTTTCACCCTTCCTGCATGTATACACTCTAAAAGAGATAATTGCAACTTTCCTTTGCGGCAATCTGGGGGAAAATGCGGGAAATTTTTTTTTTGTCTCTTTAGTATTGATTATCTAAATTGAGAGATGGAATTCCACTTTTCATGATTAAAAAGAATTAGATTAATTCTTTAACAACAGAGTACTTGCATATACATCATTAGATTTCAACTTCGCTGTGTTTCGTTCCGTTCCACTAAATACTAATAACCACACGGATATTGGTATTTTGCGGAACGGAACGGAACCAGATATATAATGTCCATATAAAGAGCGTAAATTTGAACCTTATAAACATATCAATAAATGTTGAATTAGCATACATTTCTGTCGGCCCATAACACATTACACATATAACGTTACACAATACTATTGAAACTAGTCTATAAATGTTTCAATTGATGGAGAAATGGGTTTGAGTTTTATTATCAGCATCAAGGACCGCAATATATAAATATATAATAATAAATTATAAAGTGATAATGATTTGCGTACGTGCGCGTTTTTAGTCTTTTTGAAAAGTCAAAAATCTAATTAAAAATCAGGCATATTGATTCTAACTTTCCTTGTCTTTTTCGTATTGCTTTTCAAAATTTAATATACAGGGTTTAATTTTTATAATTTAATTGAAAAAATAACAGAGTGCTTGCGTGCGTAACATTACAAGTATTCAATTTCTCTGTGTTTCGTTCCGTTTCGCTAAATACTAATATCCACATGGATATTGGTATTTTGCGGAACGGAACGGAACCAGAGAATCATGTCATGCTGGTAAAATGTGACAACTCTCTTCACTATACAAACTTGTCAGTAAACAAAATAAACGATGCACCGAAGTTCTTGACGGTAAATTTGGATAGGAATGCATCAATAATAGATGAATATTAATCATTCAATACTGTTTACATAGTAACTACAGATGTCAGCAAAAATTAATGCTTAAACTAGCTTACAGACATTTTATTTTACAGCTCGCTACTTGACACTGTGGAGTAATTTATGTTAATTAAATAACATTATTTATTTTTTTTAGTTTTACATTCATTTTTATTTCCCCCACAAGGTACCCCACAACTGGTTTCGTTCCGTTCCGTTTCGTTTCGCAAAGTACCAATAGCCATTTTAAACAGGTCAATTGCAAACTTATTTCTTGCCACATATAATTTTCCTCAATCTAAGCTTTAAAAAAAAAAATG